TTAAAATGTCAGCGATTTTGCACGCTGTTTAAGCTTACCAGATTTAATGCTTTTTAATCGTAGAAATAAGAATAGATTCCTTTTTTAGATTTAATGCCCTTCTACAAAATAGCTAAAACCGCTTTTATTGTTTACTTCCTTTTTATACTTATGAATAATAAGATTTTATTTTGACATTTTTTTTGGAGTGCATAAAAAGAACTATTAAGTCTTTCAAAGTGCTTCTATTATGTAGGCAATTTTGTCTGATTTATCAGGAGATAAATAAGAGACAATTGTATGCACAATAGTTTTTGTGATTTTCATTCATTCAATGATTTCATTCAATGATTGCTTTCAATGATTTTCATAGACTGTAAATTAAATAAAATCCATTTATCTTTAAACCCTCTTTTAGGATGAGATCTGCCAAAAAGTATTTAAATATCAGTAAAGCTCACGTCTTTGATATGATTTAAAACAAGTTCCTCGTCATTATAAGTCGCTTCCGATAGTGAAGAAAGTGACAGAGGTTATTGAAAATGAAAAAATTTCGATTGACAAATTAGTCGGTATTCTCGACACAGCAATTATAGGACTTGAACAGCGAAACTTTGTAACTAAACAAGAAATTATGTTTGTTTAATAGAATTAAAGAGAAAGTATTATCACACGAAACGAAGCAACTTGAACAACTTACATTGAAAGAAATGTTTAATAAAGTAAACAAATAAATATTAAGCTTTTTTCTTTTTGTAAATTTTGATACCCTTTAGATCATAATTGTTCTTTATTTCATACATTACGGTTTCATAATTTTAATTTTGAAATTTCTGCTTGCCATCTTACCAGATTTAAATTGATGATCTATAATCCGGAATCGCCGAAGTCCCGACGAGTCCGGATTAACGACTTTTGACTGTATTTTGTAAAATTGTGTTCTCATTTTCTAATTTCTAGTACGAAAATAGGCAAATATAAATGAAGAGTGAAAACAAAGTTAAAAAATTCACAAATTATTTACGAGATTGATCAGAAATAGTGAGTGAAATATAAATATTGCATACATTTTGTTCTAAATAAATAGTGCACTGTATATGCATCCAGTACTGAATATTTATTTATGCACTATTTATTTAGAACTTCATTTAAATGAAAGCAAAATAATCATCGAAAAAATCGCAAATCTAGCAACCCCTCTACTATGGGACGTAAGCGTCTGGCAAACGTAAATTTTACTGCATCCATGGAGGAAAAATAACAACTTTTCTCATTAGGAAAATGTCAAAGAGGGGGGCAAAACTGTTTCAGATCGTGCTGGTCTGAAGGCTATATTATGAGAATTTTGGCTCAGTTTTAGAAGGTTAAATGCAAGAATTATTTCAATTCATATGAATAACTTACTCATAAATTATGTAAAATCACAGTGCTTTACTTTGCTAGTGCATTCTCATTAGAATTGATGAATTTAACCCTTGATTTTCGCCTTTTCTATATTTTCGCCTTCGGGTGAGTGGTGTAATTGCATCCTAATTGACTTAATTACCGTGAATTGTCTTAGAGCATAAAAATTTGATTATCTTTTGTAAATATTCTATGCAATTGTAAGAAACAATCAATCTGGTAAGAAATGGATGCGACTTATTTTGAAAATGAGGCGTAAAAGGTTACCAGCGAAGATATTCCATTTGGCATCAGTTGTACCATTATTGGCAACTTTATCATTTGCATCGGCAAAATGGAAAAGTACCAAAACTTCTTTTACATCATCTTCATTTATTACCACTTCTCCACATTTCTTTACAAACTCCGTTAATTGGAAAATTTCACCGTTGTTTTGCGATATCTGAAAACCTTTAAAATTAGCGGTTATCATCATCAAATTTAGCTATCCTTCGCTATACATATTTGGCTAAGCATCATGAGCTTGGTAACTAATGACAAGTTACCAAGTTAACTTAAGTTGTTAAATTTTATCTTGCTTTTATCGCACACTGAGACAATTAAGCCTGAATTGTATTACAGTCAAAAGTCGTTAATCCGGACTCGTCGGGACTTCGGCGATTCCGGATTATCGATTTTTCCGGACTATAGATCATCAGTTTAAATCTCGTAAGATGGCATGCAGAAATTCTAAAATTAAAAATATGAAACCGTAATTTATGAAATAAAGAACAATTATGATCTAAAGGGTATCAAAATTTACAAAAAAAAAAAGCTTAATATTTATTTGTTTACTTTATTAAACATTTCTTTCAATGTAAGTTGTTTAAGTTGCTTCGTTTTATGTGATAATACTTTCTCTTTAATTCTATAAACAGACATAATTTCTTGTTTAGTTACAAAGTTCTGCTGTTCAAGTCCCGTTAATTGCTGTGCTGAGAATATAGACTAACTTGTCAATCGAAATTTTTTCGTTTTCACTAACCTCTCTGTCACATTCTTCATGTCTTTATCCCTTTTTTGCAGCAATTCCACTTTTTGTTTGATGGACATCGACACATACTTTCGTTTTGTACGATCCTTTGGGAGCTCCATAATCGGAAATTCTATTTGACATAATTGAAAGTTCAAGTTTACTTTTATAGTATTGCTCTTACAGTCTGCAAAAAATAATAAGCCGGATCCAATTCGAAAATTAAGGAACAACGCAATCATCAACATTAACTGAAGTAGATAATTAGATAATTTTAGCTTATACCATCCGTTATACATAAAATGCGCACGCGAAAACGTATTCTGCGATTGCACACACGCATATACGCAGTCGTAAAAGGTCTTGCGTGCACGTGTAAATGCATGTGCAGAAAGTTTTTAGCTTTGAGGTCCGGATTATGGGTGTCCGAATTAACGACTTTTGACTGTAGTTTATTTATTTATTATATTTATGTCTATTTCTTGCACATACTTAAGGCTTATCAGAGTTCTGAATAAATAAATTCCCACCATACATTTAAGCTTTATTGAGGGGCAGTGCTAGATATCTTACCACCTGATGCAGTCTCTGTAGGTCCTAAATTCTGCGATTCAATGTGGCCATACAAACCCTGGCACTGGTTCCGGGTTTATGTGAATAACAAATCAGTTATTAATTCAAATAGCCCCAAATGTAATCTTTGGGTCTACGAGTATCATCAACAAAATCTATTTTTAGCATATGGGAAAGAAATTTTTGGTAAATTTTCCTCATCAACATTTTTTAGCACATTTAACTTAAATCTGTAATCATCAGCAAGTGCAATGTCAACAATAAAAGATTACCACACTCCTTTATTATTCAATTACTAGCATAAAAAAATTGGGTTAATCTTTGGATTATGTTAACTTGGCGATTTTTTGGCGACCAACCCTGCTACAGCAACCTGCTAGTTTTTGTTTGTCCTATTTTTCACCTAAAAAAACATCCTAGAATTGCACAAAAATGGCATTGCGCACACTCTTGACTTTATCTATGCACACTGCTAAAGTCCTAGCTAGTAACCTTTATCGCCTTACCAAAATGTCGCCAAACTACCTGTTACCATATTCCAAAGATTAGCCAAAAATTGTTTGGGCATCGCTACATGAGTCATTACTCAATTTGTCATGCTTTGATAAAACATGCAGTGATGAAAGGAAAGTATAATAAATAATGATTCGCCAGGTTGGCGTTAGATCAACGACGTATCTATTTGGAATATTTCGGTTTGAGATGCATGCCAAGCAGACACGCAGCAACGGAGCTAAATTAGTGATCGTACAAATTTATGCTAAAATGATTATTTCTTCAAAAACAAGGTTTTTGATTTTGTGTCGAAGTGAAATTAAGAATCGGAACTCTCCAGATGTTTTTATTATGTACAGAGAGGGGGGAATCAAATGCGCATGCGCAAGGCCTACGAGAAAATGTTGTAGGTGGTTTTGAGGTCTGGATTTTAGATCATTCCGGATAATGGATGTCCGGATTTCGAACTTTGCAATCGGTATAAGCAAAAATTTGGCACGGTGCCTATACGATGCCATGTTTGGCTTCATGGTCACTGTAACTGATACATAACAATAATTGTTATGGGCATTATTGTCACACTCTGAAATTTCGAAACTTCCTCTGAGGTGGTTGCACTTATGTTAGGTTCCACAACTATTTTGCCAAACTATTTGTCTGGTAAATATTGTGTAGCAATGGAAATCTTCAAAATTACATTTGGTCACTATAATGTCACTCTCTCTTTTTACCACCTCCAATGAAAATGTTCACTGTTCTCTACATTTTTATTATGCATGCAAAACTAGATTATAAAAACTACGCTACTAATAATTGAAATATGTTCATTAATTAATAAGGGTAAATTTCATTTTCACTAAATGATTCCCATGAGCTTCCCCCTTTTCTGATCTCTCTCTAGCTCTCCTTCTTAGAAAACTAAACTTTTGGCACCACTCAAATTGACATTTAGCAACCTCTATGAATCTTGTTAGTCGATGTCACCCATATATCACAGTCCAGTCACTTTTAATTTTGATTGAAAACTACACTTAACCCAAATGGCATAATCGCCTTCATCTGATAATAAGATTTTTTATCCCTTGCTATATATTAGTTTGTAATTTAAAATATGATTTCTTATAATCAGTAATTTCACAAATTTAGCTAAATGCCGTTTCAATACAGATTCTCATGAGCAGATTCAAAAACCTGTGCCCCTTAGAGGGTTAATGGTCTTTTATGAGTAGGAACCAAAGCCTTCTTGAGATGGCACTGCTCACAAAAAATATTCGAATAACCAGAAAGACAAATAAAAGTTATTAAATATATATTTTCTTGTTTTAACTGTTTATATGGATATTTTATTGTTAGCTAACAAAGAGTGAGTTAGTATATTTATTCCTGATTGAACTCCCAAAATTCCCAAGTCATTCACCTCAAACTCTTAAAGTTTAATCTTAATAAATTCATTTAGGAAAATAATAATTTTAAAATTTAATCTTAATATACTCAATACAGAAAATCATAATGTACTTAAAATCTTGCCAAATCTTACCTCTAGAATTTGAGCAAAGTTTACCACTTGAGTTCCACTTGAAAATGCTTTAACCATTAATACTACATCTGCAGCTCTTAAGCAATTTTGAGTTTTAACAGACAAATCCATAGATACATCATCAATTATCATATCAAAAGTTCCTGAGAAAGGTCCAATAACATCACTTCCAGCCACAGGATAAACTGTGTTAAGAGAAGGGAACAGCATGTTCATAATAACATTTTCCCATGAATCACATTTATTTATCACGCTCAAATTAACAGATTGTGTTATTGGTTTCCTATTTTTCACAAAGCCATAGAGTAAACCAATGAGGTCAAATCCTGGAACCAGACTCAGTGAACATACACGGAGGTTTTCTGTGGAACGTATTTTACCCAAGACAGTAAATACCTGTGGAGATTCAGTTAAAAATTTCACTATGCATTGTTTCATAAACATTATATTTGCAGCGCCATATTTATACATATAAGCTAACCGATTTTGTGGAATAAAAAAATTGACGTCAGCATGATATGTTGACTTAATATTTTTTTTACTGAAGAAAACATTGCATCTTTCTGCCTCATTAAGGAGAGAAATCCATACAAAATTAAATACCTCCATTGACAAAATTTAAATTTGAAAACAAACGAAAACGAAAATATCCTTAAATATGACACACACTTCAGTTAATTTTCGCAAAATATCTTGAAAACGAACAACAGTTTAGTTCTTCTCGGACATACTAGGTCTAAAAACGTTAAAAATACAGTTGGAAACAAACGAAGTCTTCGGATACAAGGCGGATGGATATTAATTTTGCCTTTAAACAAATCATCTCACTATCTAATAAAACAAATCGTACACGTACGCAGGTAAACAAAGAATACAGCAAGGCCAACTTATACTCAAGGCCTGCCAGTGTGAAAATATTCTTTTGTGTTTTCAGTTGCCTGCGTGATATTCCTACTGACCGCAAGATGGCGATACAATTCTGCTACACTTTGCGATGTTCACAAAGATCGGAAAAGTACCAAAAACGAATTCTGTCTTGTTATATACAAAGTTTAAAAACGATTAATCCATAGTAGTCAGAAATTGTTGATGTCTTATTAGTAAAAATATTTTAATTAGAAGGAAAGCATGCAATTTTAAGCTATCTCACCTTTTTTTTTTCACACATAAACACCAGCTATTTGATCTGGATTTTAATGAGATACATTCCGCAAGAGAAGAAGAGGAAAAAAGTGGTCCCGTGATCTAGTGACAACAATCTCCGCACGTGCGCTGTTTACGATGGAGTCTATAGCAGATGTACCACTAAAATTAATTGATTTTTCTAATTTAGAAATTTACAGCTATTGTGAAAAATTAAAAAGTACTCTTGGAAGTGATTTCTCTTTTCTTGATGTCAATAAAAAGGGCCTTCTCTTTTTCAAGGAAAAGCATGTGAATAACATTTGTTTTCAAGTAATGTCCGATAGTAGGGTATTTATAGTAAGCTGTGTTCAGGCAGAAATGAAGAAAACAGTTAATTATAAAACGTCTGTGCAAATTTCTGCAGAAAATGAGGTAAGATTCATAAATTTTCTTTTATGCATAATACCTACCAATATTCATGTTTTACTTTCCTAGGAATATTAAGTGTATATCAATAGTTGAAAAATATTCTCGAGACCTTGAATAATGTTTTCCAAACTTTAAAATGCAAACATAATCATGTAAATATTTGTTAATAGTTTATGCATAGTTGTTCTAAATTATTGAAATAGTTGAATTCACGCAAGATCTGCTTATTTGCAAAAACATAAACACCAAGCTAATTTTCTCTTATTAATTGAGTGCCATAGAGAACATATTATACCACTGAATTTTATTAATTTCGTTACGTTGTGTTTAATAATGTGGCTGTTAGAATCTAGTTTTAATCAATACGCATAAATGTAGTTTTTTATCGCTTTCTACTATAAAATAAAGAAATATCTATGATAAAAAAATTATTAATTTCACAGCTAGAATTACAGCGAACTCAGTTGTGCAAATCAATACAATTTTCTTTTGGACATTTTACTGTAATATAAAAAATAAATGTTAATCTGAAGTTCATGCTATCTATAGATTTAGAAGTCAGTTATGAACAATTAACTTTCAAGGGGTGCAAAATTATGTATTAATTTTAAACTGTGTATCATATTAGTATCACCATTACCGTGACATAATTTTCAGGGCAACTGTATTTATAATGTTCCAGACATTTGAGTCTCACATTTTTGAAAACCATCTAGTGCATGTCAGGCTGATAAAATTGTGACTTAAAATTATAATGGTATTTACATTATTATTTTTTTTTTCAGTGTAGAACAACATACATGAAGCATTATTTTATGTACTTCCTCTTGCAGTATACAGAATTATTATTGCAAATGATTCATAAGATTTCAAAAAAGTACTGAAAATAATTTTAAAAATTATAATTATTAAAAAAAACTATTAAGTTAATTAATACTATTTGAAATCAAGTAGAAATATTTCATATTTTACTGATAAAACTATAAATGTTCGATGTGTGTTGTTCTGGTTTTATGATGTACATAGAAATGAGTATCCCAATCTTTCCAACATGTATTGTAACTTTTCGATACTGTTTCTTTATAAATGCTTGGCCATCTAAAGTTGTTGCCTTTACATAGGCAAGTATTATTCTTAAATACCATCTAATATTCTGGTGGCTTTTTGGAATATACAGTTGCATTGTGGTGCTTTGAAATAATTTTGCATAGTAACAAAAATATAAATGTTGCATATTTCCAAAACACAAAATACTTCCTCAACATTTTCATAAATAAACACTCATTGGCTGCATGAGATGAACATAAGAATGTCTCTATATGTAAACTTAAATATTTAACATATTTGCTATTGTTGTATGAATGTGTGTGTGTGATTCATAACTTAAAAATTATTGGAATTTGAAACCCACTGAATAAATTGCAACAACCTTGCATAGTTGGTCTCAAAATTTCATTAATTTTCATATTTTTATTATAGATTCAGACTGCTATTTTTGAGTGCCCTAGTCGATCTAATCCTGCAAGTTGCAAGCATGTTTTTGCATTGCTTTATGCATTGGTTGATTATAGTAAAAAAAAATTATATGAAGCTCCAACTGAACAGCTACAAAAATGGCATCAACCAAGGCCAAAACACTTATCTACCAAAAAAGAGTCCAGATATATTTAAGCCACATGCTTACTTCAATTATTCAACCATGAATTCTGGTTAACTATTCAGCACTTTTTGGAGAAAACTGTAATTTCCCAATATTCTCTGTATTGGAATGTACAGACCATCTATTTAAAGTCGGAACAATTTCCCCTACCTGCATTGGTATGTACCAGGATAAATATTGAAATGCCCGACTTCTTAAATATAGAAGAGGTGCTTTATTTTCATCAAAACATAAAAATGTAGCCTAGAAGAAGCATGGGAGATAGAGCTTAAAACTACAGAACAGAGTGAGAGCAATTTGTGGAAGAACCACCGTCAGATAAGACTAACAGCTTCTGCCTTTCATAGTATTGCTCACAGGATGGCGGACTTTGATACACTGGCAGCAAATATATACAGAATCATGAAAAAGACCTCAGCAAATTGCCAGCAGTCTCATTTGGTTCCAGACATGAAAGTGTTATTTTAGAAATTTTATCAGGAGCCAAAATGAATCTTATATTTTGAGAAAAGTTGGGGTTGTTACCAACCCCACGTATTCCATTTTTGTGTGCATCACCTGATGGCTTACTTTTCAACAAAGAAAATGTTCGGCTTGTCGAAATAAAATGCTGTTACAATCCTGAAAATGTTGAGGCTGAATCAGCTTGCCAAAAGACCCAATTTTTGTTTATACAATGTAGATGGAATTTGGAAGCTTAAAACAATTCATGCATACTTTTATCAGATTCAAGGGCAATAGCGATAAGTAATTAACAGAATGCCAGTTTACTTTTATTACAATATCCAAATTATATTCATACACAGATTATACATTTTGATCCTGTATTTTGGAATAATTTGAAACAAACAACTTAAAAATTTTTATTTTAATCATTACATTAAATTCTGTTTAAGATGTTAAATTTTATCTTGGCAGTATATCTGAAATCTCATATATACATTGTGAGCAATATACTATTATTGACATGTTCTAGCTGTAAAAAGAATTATATAAATATGTAACTTGCCTTTATGTATAAAGCAGGCAACAATGAGCTGTTGGTAACAGTGATACCCCCACAGTATAGTGGATAATAGAGAATTTGTTCTCAGGGACCTGCATACCATTTTACGTTAAGGCTGTAATTGCTTTAAATAATCATCGATAATTGATCATTCTTTCATCAAGCCTTTGGTGGATTTAACTCATTTAAGGTATAATTATGTATTGGGATCAGTATGAAATCAATATTTCCTTAGCATGTTTGAATGTGACTGAAAACTAGCTAAATTTCTTACAACTTTAGCTCTTTGATTTAAATCATTGGAAAAAAGGAATTCGACCATTTCTTAAAAATCTGATGTGATACTTAACAAATCTTACTAATAAAATAATTCAGTTAAAATGGATCTATAAGGTGCACAGACTGATATTGTTTTCTATATGAAAGATTTTAAAATAAATCAAATTACAAGCTGTAACACAATGGCCAATACAGTACAAAGTCCGAAATCTGGACTCGTCGGGACCTTGGCGATTCTGGATTTGGGATTTTTCCGGATATCAGATCATCAATTTAAATCTGGCGAGATGGCATGCAGAAATTATACAATTAAAAATATGAATTCGTAATTTATGAAATAAAGAACAATTATACGAGGGCCATCCAGGAAGTAGATTACGTTTCCGTCTGTGTCCGCTAGGGGCGGGGCTAGCGCGGCCATCTTGGGGTCAGAGCGTTGCGCAGCTCAGTCTGCATCTAGCCGTGCTAGTGAGAGGTTCGTGCTGTGCTCCGTTCAGATACTGTGACGGTTTGAAATGTCTGCGTTAATTGAAAATCCCGCGAGCTGCGAGGTGCGCTCAGTAATAAGGTTTCTGACTGCAAAAAACTGTAAACCGATAGAAATCTATCGGCAGCTTCGTGAAGTGTATGGGGACAACATTATCACTGAAGGTGGAGTGCGTCAGTGGGTCATAAGATTTCAAAATGGCCGAAACCAATGTTCACGACGAAGATCGAAGTGGTGAGACCCAGCATAGTGACCGCCGAACTTCTCGAAAACGTCGATGCTAAAGTCCGTGAAAATCGAAATTTCACAATAACGGAACTTTCTTTGAGTTTTCCACAAATTTCGCGAAGTTTTGTTGCACGAAATCATCAGCGAAAAGCTTAGTTACCACAAGTTTTGTGCAAGATGGAAGGCAAGAAGAGGTAACGAAGTGGTTGAAGGCGCAGGCGGCCGAATTTTTCGACGAAGGAATTTCCAAGCTCGTACATCGCTACGATATAAAGGCCTTAATTTGTATGGTGACTATGTAGAAAAGTAGTATTTGAGTGTGCTTTCATCTGTATATAATAAAATTTGTTTCCTATACTTTGTTTATTTTTTTATTTCCAAAACGTAATCTACTTTCTGGATAGCCCTCGTAGCTGGATACAGCTTGCAGCTTTGCCAGCTAGACACGATCTCTCTAAAGCTATATTTACGCTCGGCCGTACTTTAGACCCTTGATACCTTCGCCGCCTACTTAGGGTTAAGGTGCCAACATTTTTAGAATCTTGGTAGCTTCGGCTTCCTGAGTTCAAGCCCATGTGGAGGCTTTGCTGTAAACTCCAAGAAGTAGTAAACTGCTGACTTTATTTTGATTGCAGTCGCAATAACCGTCAATCGACTAAACCGCGAGTGTGTTTGTACATCTTCCATTGTTGTAGCTGCTTTTATTTTACCAGTCATGATACAGATGCCATACATTACAACTACAATATTTTTATTTATAAATTTTGAATGGCGGGCCGAGGGTGGCACATGGCAAAATGGTAGGTCGCGAACGGTACATGGGCCCCAAAATAATTATTTTGTCAACGTCTTGTGCTGCTCCTCCGCCTACTGCAGCTCTTCCTTTTCAGAAAGAGGAGCAGCAGGTTGAGGAGCAGCAGGAAGAGAAGCAGCACGAGAAGGAAGAGCAGGAAGAGGAGGAGCTGCACGAGGAGGAGCAGCAGTAGCAAGAAGAGGAGCAAGAGTAGGAGCAGCAAGAGGAAGAGTAGTAAGAGGAGGAGCAGCAGGAGGTTGAGCAGCAGGAAGAGGAGCAGCAGTAGTAGCAAGAAAAGAAGGAGGAAAAGGAGCAGTAAGAGGAGGAGCAGTAAGAGCAGGAGCAGCATGAGGAGGAGCAGCCTGAGAGGGAGCAGCAGGAGTAGCAGCACCAGGATGAGCAGCAGGAGTCTGAGCAGCATGCGGAGCAGCAAGATGAGGAGCAGCAGGAAGAGGAGGATCAGCAGAATGAGGAACAGCAGAAGGAGGATCAAAAGGAGGAGGAGAAGCAGGAAGAGGAGCATCAGAAAGAGCAGCAAGAGAAGGAGCTGCAGGAGTTGCAAGAGGAAGTGCAGCAGGAGGAGCAGCACAAAGAGGAGGAGCAAGAAGAGGACATCATGCGAAGCAGCAAGATGAGGGCCAGCAGGAAGAGGAGGATCAGCAGGAGGAGAAGCAGCATGAGGAGGAGCAGAAAGAGGAGAAGCAGCATGATGAGGAGCAGCTGCAGGTTGAGCAGGAGGAGCAGCAGGAGAAACAGCACAAAGATGACCAGCAGGAAGAGGAGCAGCACGAGGTGGAGGAGCAGCAGGCGGAGCATTAAGATGAGGAGCAGTAGGAAGAGGAGCAACAGCAAGAGGGGGATCAGCAGGATGAGGAGGAGCAGCAATAGGAGCAGAAGGAGGAGGAGTAGCAGGAAGAGGACGGGCAGCAGGAGGATGAGCAGGAGGAACAGCAGCAGAAGCAGGAGCAGGAGGAGGGACAGGTGACAGGTGACGGAGGACGGGGACACCTGATGTTTAACAGGAGTAAGCTAACATATGTCCCACGCCCTCCACTATCCAGATGCAACAACTCTCTGGTGCCGTACAAGGCCGCACCAGGAGCTTATTGATACTTCATTCCGATTAAACATGGCCATACAGGTGCGACATTGTGCTATATTGAAATTTTATGTACAAAGGGTGGGGTAGTCTTGTTTGTATTTTAAACAAAGCATAAACACACAAGAAATGTACACTTAAAAAGAAGTACACATAAACACTAAAAACACCTATAGCACTTAAACACCTAAAACATTTAAACATTTAAAACACCTAAGACGTTTCAGACACGTAAAGACACTTGAGAAGGTACACAAAAACACTTAACACTTAATACAGTACACAATACAATGTGCAATAGAGGTAATACAAGGTACGCTACACTTAGCAGACAACCACTTAGCCAACGGGACACTTGACCGACTCCAGTTAACCGACGGAACATTTAGCCCACACGGACACTTAGCCGACAGGACATGAAGCCGACAAGGACACTTAACCTACGGGACATTTAGCCGACACGGACAGTTAGCCGACAGGACATTTAGCCGACACACAGAATTCGCCGTCAGGGCATTTAGCTACGGGGCAGTTAACTGTCAAGACATTTAGTCAATAGGACAGTAAGCCGATAGTGACGTTTAGCTGATACGTACCCAATAATTATTTAAATTTATAATCAATTATAAAATTTCTCGACTTCTCTATAAGTTCAATATTTAAATTATTTGTTTCACCTATCAGTAAAATTCAGTTTTCAATTCTTGAATATCTCATAAGTGCTTTTAATTATTGTGTTAATTTAGTCTCGTTTGATATGTATCGTGCTGTTTCGTGTTTACTGGTCAAATTGAAAAAAACACTGAAATTTCTCGTCAGGGAAAATGAATTAAATTTCGAAAGGAAAAAGAACTTTTTTAGCTAAGTACGGCGGTCACTTAATTACATTTTAATGTGGGATCTTCAAAAATTATCCGTAAAGCTTCTTTATTTTATCAACTTTCACATCATTAATAATTTTTCTTGTTTACTTAATGATATTAATTTTCCAATCTCGCTCTTCCAAATGCTTTCAAATTTCTAATATCTGTACGTCTCATTACTATTTTGCTCATCACATCATGTTACATTCCTTCCATTAAAATATCGTTTGGCTCCTCCCACTAATGAAATTTCCTTTCCCTGTCATGAAAAATTTGAATAATGCAATAAAAAATATTGTTATTCTTGAATTATACTTTTTTATAGAAACATATGGCGGTCAGGTTGCTCCTCCCGCTGCTCCTCCTCCTGCTGCACCTTCCTCTGCTCCTACTCAGGAGGAGGAGCTGCCGAAGGAGGAGAAGCTGGAGGAGGAGCTGCCGGTGCAGGAGCAGCAAGAAAAGGAGCAGCCGGAGGAGGAGGGCAAGAGCAGGAGCAGCAAGAGGAGGAGCAGCAAGAGGAGGAGCTGCCGGAGGAAGAGGAGCAGCAAGCGGAGGAGCAGCTGGAGGAGGAGCAGTAGGACAAAAAAATTTTGCTTTGTGGCCCACTTACTATTCGAGACCTGCCATTTTGCCATTAGCCCGCTATTCCACAAGAGGTGGTATTCTTCTAGTGGCAACTGATATCACGTGTTTTTAATATTTTCGCCTTGGAAGAACAAGATGATTGCCTGCTAGCTTGAATGCAGTTTTCAAAGCAAAATGTTTGTCATCTGTATCATGACTGGTAATATAAAAGCAGCTACAGGAATTGAAGATTTACCGAAATACACTCGCGGTTTAGTCCATTGACGGTTATCGCGACTGCAGTTAATATTGCAGGAAACGAGAAGAAAATGTGTTATAATTAATAAAAACTAACAGTTACTATTTTAACTATATTTTGAAGCTATTTAATTTGTAGTCAAGTTTATTTGGCTATGTAAAGTAACACAGTTCTAAAAACAAGAACGTACTATTAAAAAAGGAAGAAAGAAAAAGTCTGAAAGGGTTTAGACTGTAACTTAGCATCAGAGAGTTTGTTAAGGTTTTTTCCGTTGCCGCTGAGCTCGAGGTTTATCTGCCTGCTCGTGGACTTACTCCTCCTGACACAACTACTTTTACCTTTTTATAACCATTATTAGTTTATTGTTATTTAAGAAAAGAATTCAAAACCTCACGTGTTTCACCAGATAGGCCATGAGGCTTGCAGAAGTAAGTAAATACCTCAGCAATACATAAGAGCCAGCAATACATAAAAATGAGTAAGACAACACCATATACGACAATATTTCAGCAATACATAAAGATGAGTAAGACAACACCATATACGACACCCAGATCTGGAGAGAATATCGAATATATTGTTTCGGATTTTGTATATAGTTAGCAATTTTTAGTAGAATTGTAATTAAAATCGTTTTATATCCCCGTGTAATGCAGCGCGTGACGAGTTTTAAGAGAAGATATACCAAAAAAGTAAACATACTGGAGCACGCGCATTTAATAAATAGATATTTGGTAATTTATATTTAGACTGAATAAATGTGATTTAACTACTGTGTTAGCTGTGACCGTAATTGAACTCTTTGCTTTCCAGAAATCTCGAGAAAATGGAAATTAACAGAACCTCCTCGTCTATATATATAAAGAAGAACGTCTGTGTGTTTGGTTGTTCTTTACTAACTCAGTCAGTACTATAGCTTTCGTCACCAAACTTTCCACAATTGTTATCTGGGTCCTGGAAAAGGTTGACGTCCACTTTTTTCCAAAAACAAATAGCTAAAATCAGAGATATTAATTAAATATCCGGAAAAACCATCATTTTCGCCTTTATTTTTCTGAGTGACAGCAGTCTCGCAAGCTGAAGATGAAAATCTTCTTTATATCGAAAGTTGTAGCCGCCGCTCGCTTTCAAATCATAGAATTTGTTAATAAAATACGTATTTCGAAGTTTTACGACGAAATAAAAATAGCATTGCCAAATTTTAAATACAATATTCCCGATTCCGGAAATTCGCGGGAAGCCATTTCGACTATTCCCATCTTTGTACGACTTTAATCAGCCGAAATATTAATTAAAAACTCTGAAATCGCTAATTTTCGCCCTTATTTTTCCGAGTGGCAACAGTCTCGCACGTTGGAGATAAAAAATGCTTTGTTTTTGAAAAGTGTTGCTACTGCTGGCTTTCAAATCGTAGAGTCTGGTAATCAAATATTTGTAGGTTTTATAAAATCTCTGGATATATAAGAATGTCTGTACAGATAAGAACAGCATAATTCAATCATTTTTAAAGTAAAAATACGCAGTTTACCAACATATAAGGATAAAAAAAACTCAGCTCACGGACCCGAGTAATAGAGTGTATATATATATTTATATACTTTTGGTGCAAGCCGATTGCAGCCAAAACGGGAGGTGCGCAACTATCTGCTATAGCAGTTCTATATACAAAATTTCAACGTTTTTGAGTTATGCGAGATACATACATGCGTAGGTGCGTACGTACAGGCACCACGGGAAGAAACTCTTCTGAATCCATTTTAAATCAGTTTATAAATCGTTTGGGGGTACGTACAGATGTCACGCAAAAACATCGTAGAATTGCATTCGATAGCCGTCAAAATGGATATATTCGTTGAAATATGGTACGCGGAATTTTTTCATGAAAATATTTCCTTTACTTCCTACAAGGAAGTAAAAAGGAAAAGATAGGTGTAAGATTTAATTCACGATGCTTCCAGAAGTAATGCAAAAGTAACTTTATTACGTTTAGATTAAATATCACCTCACAAAGGACGAGACACAGCAAGTAAATGTTTTCGAAACACTGGCAGTTAATTTACTTATTTATGAACATATAAATAATATCGATACATTTATCATTATCGTAATCGTTTCGCTTTCTGAATACTGAAATGGTTTTCAGGTGTTCGTTTGCTAGGAAGTTCCTGATATGATAGTAGGAGACTGTGTATCATGCTTACATTCCTTATTTTAAAGCTTTAATGATAATTTTTAGATTTTGCTTCAATTATTATATATTAATTATTACTGCTATTATTCAAGTCAATGTACAATAAGTGTTTACTCCCGTATGTGTTGATTAAATAAAGGAACCTATGAAGTTTACCATATAAATAACTGAGTGTCATTTAGTTTATCCTATCGACCACGGACCTCTGGAATATACGCACCCAGTGTGCAGACCACCACACCACGAAGGAATGCTAAGAAGGCCTTATAAACTGTTTTATGAAGTGGAATTATCAATTCATGCAAATTTGTTATGCTTTTGCTTAATAAACTGTATCAAACGTGAAGTCAAATTGTTAAGAGAACAGATAAATGCATTTAGGACATGCAGAATTATTTAAAATAAATGATTCACATTAAACATCCAATGAAACAAATCATACGACATTTTTACTTAATAGAAATATTTAAATATATTAAAGGTCTGCATTGTAAGAGAGTTATTTTAAATTTATAGTTTAAAAGTCGCATAAAATTGCAATTTTTCAATAGAGAATAACTGGTGAAAGAGAAAAAATTTTTTTGTATAACTAATAAAATTAAATATAAATATACATTTTTTGTAATTTAGTTTTCAGAACCACGTTTACGATCTACTGATTTGTGTACCGGTGTTCATCATTTCGAACGGTGTGAATTCGTCTATTGTATTAGTTATCGTATCTTGTATAACTAGAAACATTGTGCAGTTCCTCAATTTGCATTTCGGCTGCTGCTCGTCATTTAGAACAGTGCATAAGCGTCAGATACAATGTGCAGGGACCTCAGCTTGCATTTCAGCTGGTGTTCATCATTTAGAACGGTGCAGCGGGTTATGGATTAAGATGCGCGCATATGGATCTCGGGTTATAATTGGCCTAGAAAGATAAATTGTTTTCGTTAAATGATAGAACGTCTCGAGACAATTATTTTGGCAATTTCTGTTTTTTAACAATGTTTAAATTTTATTTTTTATCGATTTTTGAAAATTTTTGCAATATTTAAAAAGTCGCAAAAAATCGCCTGTTGTAGACAGAGTCACCTTTGTTGCGGGGGGGGGGGGTTAAAGGGCATATAAGTGTCCTCCTACACGCCAAAATTGCGATTTTCTGTCTAGCAGTTACGAAGAAATCCTTGAAAATCATTATCATGGGGTTCGAAATCACTATGACACCCCATTGCAAAATGGTGTTGGTGTATTTAATTATGGCAAAGCACACTAGTGCTATCTGCCTAAGGA